AAGAACACGGAAAAACTAGTATCACCGACTTTCGGTTGGATCAGTCATCGAACGTCAGGCTATTGATAGTGGATCAAGACAGCCGTTCTCAGTGCTCCCGCCCCCTTCAAAGGTCCCCCTTCGTATAATCCATCCCTGCCTTCTTTTACCTGATGTCTTCAGGGTGTCTTGTCCAATGGCGTGCCGATTCCCTCTTGCTAATGAGCTCAGTTATTTCTAGTGTTTTGGCATGTTGGGTGCAGATCGATACAAATTGCTTCAGTGAACATCTGACCATCAAAATGTCTCCTTCCCCGTTCCAACGGAAGGTTATCACCAAAGGCGAGTTCTCTGCGTAGCGGACTGGAGACAACTGCTGGTCCATTTAACGCGGGCTAAGACCACAGTAAACATGTGGTCATACATTGATCTTTTGCCCCTTTTCAAAACTTGTGCAAAATGAGCGGCTAACTCGGTGTACTGCTGGACCAATTACTCGGATTTTTTTCATTTCATATTCCCTGGAGTTAAGTCTGGGTCAAGGAGCAACGTTTACTACAAAAATGCCTGTATTTAATGCCGCAAGAATAGTTGGTTTATCCAGGCCTTGGATATCAAGGCTCAGCTATGTTTAAAGCCATTCTGATCCTCCATCGGTAGAAGAGATATTAACCCATTACCTCCCATAATTTTAACCACTTTGATTTTTGTTATGAAACTTGGATACCTATGGTAAAAAAAGCGTGTATATAAATTAATTTAGAGCTAATTTTTAAAAAATCTCATGTGGATATCAGAGAAATATACCTAATAGATATAGTATGAAGGTTAAATATGCGTATATACAGACAGATAATTACGAAAGCTCTTAATTTTTAAGTGATCTCATATGAGATCACCGAGAGGGAATGGTTAAAGGTTCATGCTTTCCCCCTCCCCCACAAAGAAATGGCTGATTGGAAAATTAACACGCAGTAGATGCCTGCTGTTTCTTACCACTGCATTTACATAGTATCTGTCCTGTAAACGGACTTCGTCACCTAAAACAAAGAACTGACACCAGCTCGTATCCGTCCTGTTAGCAGTGATGGCTGTACGCTTCTATAAAACTGTGATATAGATACGTCGTCTACGAAACAGGACTGAAATAAGCATCTGACAAGCACAGTAGACATATGACAAGCCTGCAAGACAGACATAGCCTCCAGTACTTAACCGGGGCTAGTAACATTCTTCCAGCTATTAGAGAAAGCCTACGTAAAATAATTCAAAAATGTGT